TTGAACTTCGCCTTGCTCGGCATCATCGCTCGAAGAAAATTAATTGCACCTTTCCACGCCTAGGAGAGGATCAGCAATTATTTTGTCTTTTTGCGATCATAAGAAATCTTGCCAGATATCTTTTTCAATTTTGATGGGATATTACGTACAATATAATTGTCGCAAAAAATATCTGTTCGTACGAGAAAAGTTGGAAACTAAAATAGGAGAGATCAAAATAGAATTGTTTGATTAATGCTTCTTTTAAAAATAAGAAAAAGATATCGTATGATACGAATCTTGATGGTTATATTAAGTAATTTTTAATTAATGATTGCGAAAAATTTAAAATGTAATAGAAGTTTCGATATAGTGATGGCGTAATAATTATAAAATATAAAGTATTGATTCTATAGTTCTTACACTCCGGAGAGTGTACCAATTCCAAGTTTTAACGAAAAATAAAAATATTGTAAATTTAATTTGCAATTAATTGGAATATATATAGGCTTAAAATTTATAATTTTCTAATAATATTTTTAATAGAATAACTCATTTGAGAAAATTAATGCTAAAGTTTTTTTTTATATAAAAATATTCAAAATAAATATGTAAAATATAAAATATAGGATGAAATAATGTTCTTTCGTTTTATATAAATCCTATAATATTTTATCTTTATCAAAAACGTGTTATTAGAAATAATATATTATAAATATACGTGATTTCACTTTTGAACTATTTTTTCAAATCTAGTTTTTCTTTTCAATTTTTAATATATTTCTAGAAGTACATTACCAATTTTTTAAAAAACCATTCTCTTTCAAATAAATTTTGATATATATCAAATATTTTTCCTAACCTTACATTTATTTATTTTACACTTTATTACAAATGTATTTAATTATATTACACGTAATTTTCATTAAAATCAATCGTTTGATATCCTCCATTTTTCGTTAACTATTTATTTCGTCAAGTCAATCGCATCGATCACACTTGAAAAAAGTTAGACGAGGATTGATCGATAGAGAGAAAACATTCCAATGTTTCTCACGAACGATTTCTTAGAAATTCTTAGAACGTTGTTATTAGTTACTCCATTAGTTGGGTATATTCGATCGTTCTTGATTTTTAAAAATCATTCCATTAAAAAAAAGAAATGAAAAATAACCCAACTTATTTCTCATGGAATTTTATTCGGTTCAATGGACGAGAAAAAGGAATTTATTGTTTCTGTCGTCGCAGAACTCTCGTGTATTTGATATCGATGAAATAAATTTCAATAACGTAGCCATATTTTTCTTCACGTATGTTTGAAATTTTATTCGTTGTTTACTCTATTTCGTCAATTGATGCATGATCAGCATGATCAGATTTCAAAATACACAAAATACAAAAATTAAATAAAAGTCACGTATTTAAATTTACTCATTATCTTCCAAAATAATAAAATATATGTATATTAAAACAAGAAACGACGATGAAATGTTAAATGAAATTCATCAAAATAATCCATCTTCTTTTTTGTTAAATAAATTTTGAAAATATTCTCTCTATAGAATTTTCTTTTTCTAAAATAGTCATCAATGTTCATTAAATTAAATGTTAATATTTATTATAAGTAGTTACTCTTGTAATTATTTAATAAAAATTTTTTGAATTTAAATTTTTACTAAATTTTTATTAAATAAAATTTAGAATATTTCAAATTTTTGATACTTTTTTTATATCTTTTTATAAATTTTTAATTTGTATGAAATTTGTACGAAAAACATAAATTTTCGATATAATTGTTTCAACATTAAAGTCTCTGCGTAAAAAATGAATAAAAATTATTAGAAGCAAGATATTGGTTAGCAAGAGTGTATCATCTATATATATTATACAAAATGTTAATACATTCGAGGAATGTATTCTTTAGAAAAATAAACAGAAAAGTTGATATAAAAGAATATCGATAAGACTTATTTATTAAGCTATAACCAGTTGAAGTTTGCATTCGAGCACAAGCGAGGCAGAAATACTGTAAGATGTTTCTGTTATAGCATCGTAACCCAGTTTATTCGTAAACTTGAAATTGCTTATAACTTAATAAATAAACTTTAGCCAATATTTTTATATTTGTTTCTAAAATTGATTTTTAAAATCAATTTTCCAAAGATGTTTCGCGAATATATTAACATATATATATATATTATCGACATTGTAGACTTGCTATCCCTCGAGAATATAAAGTGAATTTTCAAATCACTTTTCTGAGTACACAATTCAATGTCGGTGATTTTGCAGAAACGGCGCATCAAATATAACTGCTTTGGAAATGGGATAGGAAGTATACATATACCATGTTGCCATTTCTGTAAGTACAGAGTTGTCAGTGTCCAAAGTGTGCACGTGACATAGTTCGCGACTAACGTCGCCTCTAATTCTGACCAGTCGACCGTTTTGGAAAATCGACAGTTCTGAAATGTAACATAGTGAAATATCACGATGATGTCAACTTTCTCGATATAGTTTGTCCAAAAGACGAGGATGTGTTTTTCGGTGAAAACTTATTTCCGCTTTGATTTTTAGACAACGTCGTTTGTAATTAGCAAATTGAAATTCTTCAAATGATGGTAGATGAGTGGATCGTAGAAATTTCGACTCGAAGGACGAAATATCGAGGCCATGCTTCCTTTAAAATTTAAATGTTGCACGGTTCGAATAATCGAATTTAAATAACGTGAATCGATTTGAGAGTAAAATTTTCGCTCGAATTGCTCTCGATAGTTATTTAGTTATTAGTGGACGCTATTTTGAGAATGAAATTATTCTCTGACAGTTATTCAGAATTTTATTTATGAAAAATATTCGCATATTATTTGTATTATAACAAAAAGTTGATAGAATTAATCTTTTGTTACTCTATAACATTATTAATACAAAAGAAAAAAGAATTTATTTTATATCGTATTTTTAATTAATATGATGAAATATGATAAAAATATAAGTTTACGCTTTTTTATAAATCCTTCTCAATTATTCAGAATATTCGAATGTTTTCCTGTTCTATTCCTTGTTCGTATTTACTTGTACAGTATGTTTAAACTTGTATGTTTAAACTTCAAAAATAATCTTGAATTGCAATTTAACGCGAGAGTGAACATTGACAATTAAAAGTTTTCCCGTGATTATTTCAACTGATTCAACGATTGATTCAACGAGATAATAGTTTTAGTTTTAAATTATAATGCAATTATCTTTATCGATCGTGTTCTCAACTTTCTGTTTTTGAAATGTTAATAATATTAGATAATAGAAAGATATTGAGTTTGAAAAGATTGAACAAGAATTGATTTATCATTTATTTATTCGAATTTTAATAAGATAAGATAAATTTGCAAGAATTGAGATCAGATAAATATTTTTTAAATTATTTGTCAAATAGATTTCCTGTTTTTGAATGATTGTAATTAATTTGCGATTCATATCTATGATTTTTCGTACGATTTTGATGAAAAATAGTGTTTTGTAAATATTTTGATGTATATTTTTATTAAATAAATTTAATTGACAGTTTTCCAAGATCTTTTTTAAGATCATTGTAAAATCGAATAGCTTATAATTTTTATTTGCATTTTTATTTTTTCGAATTTCTTATTTATTTTTTAAGTTTCTATTTAAATTATTGTAAATAATTTAAAAGATGTTTATTATACATACAGATAAAATAATCCTATATAATGTATAATATAAATAAATATTATTGAATAAATGATGAAATTTTTTTTATTATTTAATGAAACAATTGATAAAATAGCTTATAATTTTTGTTTGCATTTTTATTTTTTCGAATTTCTTATTTATTTTTTAAGTTTCTATTTAAATTATTGTATATAATTTAAAAGATGTTTATTATACATACAGATAAAATAATCCTATATAATGTATAATATAAATAAATATTATTGAATAAATGATGAAAATTTTTTTATTATTTAATGAAACAATTGATAAAATAGCATTAATAAATTAAATATATATAAGTACGAAATTTCTTTTTTTATTAAAGTTATCCATTATTTTCGAAATTAGTTTAAATCTATAATTTAATATTATATTTTGCTCTGAATTAGTAGAAAATAAATTTCATAAATAAAATGTTGAAAAAAAGTAATTTTTAATCGATATATTGCAACACATTCACAAAATAAATGTATTTTTATATATAAATTGAAGAAAAATAATAAAAAATTATTATGAAGCATTATAATAAAAACTTCTCTTTACATATTGTTAAATATTATTTTTAAGAGCTTTCTTTTTAATTTCTATTATTTATTCATTCATTTACACAAAAGATATGAAAGTGAGTTTTGCCTTCACTTAAATAAAAAATAAAGGTATATAAACAATACAACAATAAAAATAAATTTTATTCTTTATTTTTAAAATTTCATACACATATTTTTCTACGTAATCACTATCTACCGTATATTTCAACTAGTTTTTTCATTCATGAAAAAGTTAGCGTCTTTTTCTTGTTTCTTCACAACAAATTTTACAATTTCATTACTAAAATATTGGAAAATTTCCAAGTGTTACTTAATTTCAGAAACAAGTGACCATCACTAGATGCAAAGTTTATAGATAGTAATATATATAGCATTTCGAGAGAAAGAAACGGATTAATAAAAATAAACATACAACCTTAGAAACAAAGTTTCTTTTTTTTATTGTTGCTTCATAAACATATCTCTCCGTTCATTTTTTTTATTTAAGTGAAAGTAAGAATTTTCAATTCACTCTTTTTATAGTATTATTTAAATAAAAAATAAAAAAATATTGTAAAATAATTTTCAATAATTAGTTCGTGTCAAAAAAGCACATTATCGAACTTAATTACGTATCATTCAAGCATCTAATTTCCTTCCTAAATAGCAACCATTATCACGAAAGGTATACATCCTATATACAAAAGGGAGTATCCACTCCTTTAATTACACCGTAACATGAAATATAACACAAACAAATTATTTACTTTGCAATGAAATTTATTAACATCTTACATCTACATTGTGTGCAGAAAATTTACATCTATATATATATATATATATATATATATATGTTCATCGATTGTTAGTTGTCAAGAAGCGCGGAGAAATGCCGGCAAACACTCTCGTCGATTCCTCTCTCACATCCTTCATATCATCTCGTGTGTTATACCAATCTCGATCAGGAGCCATTCGCAAGCATCTCTCCGCGATAATTATATTCGTGCATCTCGATCGAAAACGATGGAAAGCTCTCCGAGACTGAGAGCTGTCGTAGATCGTGGCGCAGTCGTCGAATGTTATTAGGTCCGAAATACAGGCCCGTTCTAGAGAACGTAGTAGGGCGCTGAGTATGCAGAGGCGTAGTAAGGATAGCCGGTGTACGCGGCGTAAGGGTAGCTGTAGGCAGACGTGTACGCGATCGGCGCCGTGTAAGCGCTGTAGGCGACTGGAGCTGTGTAAGCCGCGCCCACCAGCAGTCCTCGCTTGTCGCGAGGCGCGGCCTCAACTTCCGCTTCCACCGATTCGGCCTTAGCGGGCTCGATCGACTCCGTTTCCAATGGTTTGGCGAAAGCCACGGCAACCAGGGCGAGCAAAACGACGGCCTGCAATGTGACAACAAATGATATCGATCGATCGAAATTTGTTGATTTTGTTGATTTTATTTAATCTATTTATCTCTTGAAGGGGATAATTTTTTTAAGTTAGATAATTTTGATAAGATGTATTAAATGATTCTTAGAATGAAATTTACGATATGAGATCTTCAAGATTTTTTTAATAGAAGAAGAAGAAGAAAGGAAAGAAGATTATGATTAGAAATATTGTTCGAGGAATGAGATTAGATTCGGAATGGAGGAGCCTGTATAGATAAATGAGTTTGAACGTGTTTACTCACTGCGATGCACTTCATGTTGCAGGTAGGTTGAGGAGTTGTTACAAGCTTGAGAGCTGGTTGAAAATCGATTGATGCTCGAAACACGGCTGTGCCCCCCTTTTATACCTATTCGATCGCTATGTTGGCGGATACGTGCATCGATTTTTGATAACTGCCTCGCGTAACCGCGCATAATTATTAACCTCTCGGCATTGTCGGTCACGGGGGGGCTGCAGGGCCTCGTAGTTGACGGTGGATTAAGCAACACGTCCTTGGCCATTGTCCAAAAAGCGAATCGTAAGAATTGTTCGATGTTTGATAGATTAGATTTTTGTAATTCTTGAACAAGTCGTTAAGAGCCGCTTCATTGAATTGAATGGGATTATTGATATATGCGAGTCTTGATTGGATTTTTTTATTGGATGCTTTAAGAGAATTTTCAAATTGCATTATTTTAAAAGTACTTTTTATAAATGCATTCGACATTTCACGAAAATTAAATTATTTGTTATTTGATTTCAAAAATAAGTGGTTTTTTTAATATACAGGATCAAATGCTGTGCTATTGTTATTATTTTTGATTTATATCATGGCTATAATTATTATTATATTTATACATGATTACTATAATTATTATTATATTTATTGTTTAATATTCTGAAAATTATTCCAGGAACGAATTTACAATTTTTTCCAAATTTTCATCTTATTTCAAATTTTTTTAATTTAATTAAATTAAAGAACATAGTTTTAATCGAAATTTATTACTTATCAATACATAATATAAATATTTTATAAAATGTTTTATACGAGAAATAAATTTATAATTAAATGATTATGTAAAATAATGTAAAATGTAAAATAATTTGTTTGGTTTTGATGCAAATGGAGTGATTTCTTAACGTAGTGTAATAATTATCATTTCATGAAATGAATTATTTTTAATTTGATCGTGATAAAAATAAGTGATTTCATTATTTGATAATAAGTGATTATTATTATTATTTTTTAATAATAAATATTACATTCTTAATAGGATTATTCTATTATTTCTAAATGATGAATTTGAAATTTATTTCAAATAATAATTGAAAAATAATAATTTCAACTGATGTTAATTATCATTTAATAAATGTATTTCAATTGTTCAAATGTTATGTTTTTTATTCAATTAATTAAAGCAAATTGAAATAAAACGAATATTTGAAAAGATAATTGAAAAATTTATTCTTGAAATAACGTTCAGAATAAACATTGGACAATAAATGTAGCATTTACAATTATTAATAAAAAACAATAATAATATAAATAATGAAATCACTTATTTTCATTACGATCAAATTAAAAATAATTCATTTCATGAAATGATAATTATTCAGTTAAAAAGTATACAAATATAATTTCTTTAATCTTCTAACGCCATATGACTTAAAAATCATAAATTCATTAATCTATTTTTAATCCTTTTTCATATTTGTTCATCATTTTATTATATCTTATTCATTTGCCATTATAATGTATGATTTATTAATTTCTAAATTTCAGGTTAAATTATATTCAATTAAAACTTTTTCTTCTTATAATTCTATTTATAGAATTAATTTAAGAAGCAAATGAAATATTCTAAATCATTATATTTATTCAAAAAACTAATACATATGTATATATATTACATATGAATTATAACGGTATATATAATATGAATAGCATATATGAATAATATATGAATTATATAATATTACATGATATATTTGCACATCGTACATGATATACATAAATAAATGTATGCATATGCATAAGACATATGTTTTATATAAAATTTTTGTTAATGCTCGAACCATTATACTGATTTTCCAATCTTGCAAAGCTTAAACAATCTATAATTCTACAATTTATCATTTTCCCAAATATTTGCCCTGCTGTCTCTTTAAATTAATCGAATAAAAAAAATATAACAGGCATTAAAATAATAATCAACAAATTATCTAAAATAATTTTTTTTTAAATTACCATTTGAAAAATTTCAAATAGATTTGATCTCGCAAAGAAAGTTTCGAGAAGAGCTTTAATCTCGCGTAAATCTTAAGAAGAACAATCGACCTTGTGGAGATCGAAGATTCTTAGCAAGGAGTGGGAGTTCCCCCGATTGAAATTCCATTTGGGCACGTTACACGCGCAACATCATCGTCGCTCGTAATAATTTTCACGACGACGGTTTAGCTATTCCGTCCTTGTACCAAATTGGTCCTCGTTTGCGGCCACGAAGCCTAAATAGTCCCTCTTACCAACACTCGTGTACCATTGATGAACGGAAGAACTTGAAGGGCTCATTGCGACTGGCTCCTTAATGACGCTTGAATATTTAAAAAATCAGAGAATTTAGAGTGAATCATGAAAGAGATGTCGTAATTTTTGAGAAATTAATGTTATGCGAAAATATTTTGTATGGAATAGAAAATATATCGAATGATTAATTATTGTAAATATGTTTGATTGAAATATTTAAATTAAATTTTCAATGTATAATTTCATTTTTAAAAAATTAAAAAGTGAAATTTTATTTCGAAAGTTTAAGTTTAAGTTAAATTTCTTGTTTAATAAATTAGTGAAGTGAGATGAAGCAACAAATTTTTATTTTTTAAATTCGAGAAATACAACAGAAGAAAATACGATTAACACTTAGATAGATGTTTCTTTTTAGCAGATAATTCTGTTTAAATAAGCTAACCATTTAAATTCTAAAAAAAAAGCAAATATTTCTATCTTTATCTTTATATTTATATAATACACTCAAAAATAATAATTCATATTGTTATTTATAATATACTATATATAATATACTAATTCTTTATTTTAAATTTTTTTATTATATCACTTGCTATAAATGCTATTCTTTTTTTTTCTCGTTAAAATTTATATGTATCTATGTTATCTTTGTATGTCAAAAAACATTATCATATTTGGTTTGATATTGTTACCACCAGAAAACCATTAAAACCAAAAATATTTATGATATCTTATTCTAAAGGAAAATATTATTTCCGTCAACTTAGTTTGTAAAAATATCAACATGACATCTATATTAATTTAAAAATGAAACATCTATTTTAAATATTAAAAATAAAATCTTTAAAAATAATCGAAGTTAAGTGATATATAACATAAATATAACATAATGTAAAATTTCTTAATCTAACATAAATATATTTAAATAAAATAAATACAAAAATAGTAACTTTTAGAAAACTTTAATAATTTTAATAACATAACAATAAATAAATTTTTGTTTTCATAGCATGTTTCTTTTTTCATTTTTTTTATCTTAAATAACGTCCTCTAGCAATGTCCTTACTTAACTGATGTAAAAAAACGGGCAATACAAAACACATGAACGATGCTTATATTTTATTAGCTACTAACATCTCTGAAATGGGCCACTTAAAAGCCATATTGATCGTAAAATAAGAAAACACAATAACGCTATAAATATTATTCTTCAATACTTATTCTAAAATTCACTACTATATCATTTTTTTGCGTATTTCTGAATTAAAAAAATTATTTATTTTTCAAAAATTTAACATAAATCATTTTGATTATGAATCGATCTGTTTGGTTTTGAAAAAAACTCAGTATTGAATATAATATATAATATATTTTACCCTATTTATTATATTCATGTTATTCATTAAATTGCATTTTATCATTTTTTATATATCATTCATTTCATATCGTTCGTAATTACAATAATGTTAATTAAACGATTTTCGAATTTCGTAGAATTTAGAAAATTAAGACAATCTTACACAAAATTCTAAAACTGTGGACTAAAAGTTCCTCAAATGTAAAAAATATCGTTCTTATCACGCTCGTTGACTCGTTATTCTCGCAGAAACGAGCATGACATAAGCAAGACCACGAGGACAACGATGACGAGGAAGCGATGCATCGTGGCACGCTGCACTGCGAAGTAGGCAATATCAACGTTGAGAGGACGGAAACGATGACGTTTAAGTAGCGTGTCTAGCATATTGCGTACGCCAGCTTCGAGGAAACGTGAAAAGATATCTCTTAGGTACAATTACATTAATGTCTGCGAAAGAAATTCAATTTTCTATCTCATTGGAAAATCTCTTCGCCATTTGGAAAAGAGTAGGAGAGAGTTACATTTAAAATATTTTCTGTTGTACGTCCTATTTGACGTTATGATAGAATTTTCTTTAACTAAAGTTTCAAATAAAATTTCAAACTGCTATTCGAAATGTTCGAATCAATGTTAAATTGATTATTCGAAGTTATTCAAAGACCGGTAAACTATACAAATACGAAAACAAGTTATTTATTGCAACTGTGACTTCAATTTATTAAAGACAAAGATAAATCAAAAATAAAAAAATTTTATTTATTTATTTATATATTATTAATATCAAAAGTCATGCAATTTATTCAATGCTTCGAATAACAAGTTATTTTCCAAGTAATTTCATTTTGTACTTCAACCGTTAAAATTTTGTCCATCACTGATTTGAATAATATAATCTGTTCGGATAAGCGGTTTAAGTTTTTTTTTGGATAATTAAATTGTGAATAATAAATGTATCGTGGATTAATTATAAATTAATTAGATTTTTAAATATGGATATTTATTATGTAAAAGTATACGTTATAAATGATAACGCGTTTCAATAGAAATTTTAAATATTTCTATTATTATCTTACTTTGCATTTAATTCAAAAGCTTCTTTTTGAAGAAATCTGTATTTGTATTTGCTTTTCTTGTAAGATTTATATTTCTTATTTTTGTAGCCATTAATTATTATTAATAATTTACTAATACTTTACAATGAAAAAATAAGAAAAGAAATGTTATGCAAAATTTATTTGTAAATGGTTATAAAATTATATTATATTATAGAAAAATATTAAATTCATTTACTCTGGATACGTGTATAACAATAAATCTGAGAATTTGAAATTTTATTTTTAAACGAGGATTTAAATACTTTAAAGCAAGCATCATAAATATAAAAAATATAGATAAAATGAAACGATCGATCTTTTGTATTTTTTAATGCTATGCCAGTTTATTTATAATTTTGTAATAAAATATTTATAAAAACTTCATTTTTGCTAGAAAATACTTCGTATAATTAAATATTGCGATAAACCATTTTTATTTCTCGAAATCATATATAATATTGAATATTGAGATTTAATATTTTAAATGAAAAATGAGCTATTAATTAAACTGATCAAACACATTTTTGGAAAAATTCTGAATTATTATTTAACTATTTTTAGAACTCGATAGAATCGATTATTTTCGTATAGCTTAAAATTTAACTTAAATTATTGTTTTTTTTTTTTTAAATATTCAAATGCAAAATTAAAATTAGCTTTTAAGAAAT